TAGTAGCCCTTTGTTTCTGTTAACAATCTCGTTTTTCTTAAAACAGTTAGTTTAGTTGTGTGCATATTACCTACTAAGGTAGTAGGTACCTAACATTAGGTACATATGTACATACTTCGTAGGTGCCGTCAAATTAAGTTCAGCGCACGGACATTTAGTGTGGTTGTGACTTGCGGCTTGCCTTGTGTCCATATGTATTGTACACATACTTAGGTCATGTACCTACCTATTGATACCTGATGCAAGCACTGAACGCGCTTTCTGAGAAAAAAAAAAAAAAAGCGCGTTGCCCTGTTTAAAAAGGGACCCCTGCTTGACCCTTAGGTTAGCTGGCAACTGGTTAGGTAGGTAGTTTCCAGATCGCAAATAAACACTAAGGAAGCGCCCACCGCCAACCTCCCATCCAGAGAGACCACAACTTCTCTACTTCTTTCCTTCTCTCCCAGCTGCTTCTTTTCGACAATCCACCTTTTTAACATCCTTAATCATCCATCTTTTTTTGTTATTCGGTCTGGTCACACATCTCACAAGATTATACACCGCTACAATCTCCCAAGATGTCTGTCGTATCTTTACTCGGTGTCAACATTTTGAACAACCCCGCTAAATTCACTGACAACTACGTGTTCGAGATTACCTTTGAATGTCTCGAACAGCTCGAAAAGGGTATATATTTCTATGAGGATGCTCCGATATGTCAATTGAGCATTGAACTTAGCTGACCAGCCTAGATTTGGAGTGGAAGCTAACTTACGTTGGCTCTGCAACTTCGTAAGTTACCATACCATGCTCTTCGATAATTGCCCTCTAATTTCGACCGACAGCGACCAGTACGATCAAGAACTCGACTCCCTCCTTGTTGGTCCCATCCCTGTTGGTGTCAATAAGTTCATCTTCGAGGCCGACTCCCCCAAGACTACTCGCATCCCCGATGCAGACATTCTCGGAGTGACTGTGGTCCTCCTAACTTGCTCATACGACGGCCGCGAGTTTGTTCGTGTTGGATACTACGTGAACAACGAATATGAGTCCGATGAGCTGAATGCTGACCCCCCTGCCAAACCCATCGTCGAGAAGATCCGCCGCAATGTGCTAGCCGACAAGCCAAGAGTCACGCGTTTTGCTATTAAGTGGTATGTTTATAATCTTCTAATCTTTTGATGCGTAGCTCCCCTAATTGCTGAGCTTATGCTAATCTGTATGATAGGGACTCTGAGGCATCTGCTCCCCCCGAGTTCCCCCCTGAACAGCCCGAAGCGGATCTCCAGCCCGACGAGGAAGAATACGGAGCTGAGGAGCTCGATGAGGATGTTGAAGAAGAAGGCGCTGAAGTAGCCGCCGAGAATGGTGGTGAGGCTAGTGCTGCAGCAGCTGCTGCTGATGGAGACGCTGAAATGGAAGGCGTCGAGGAGAATGGGGAGCCTGTTGAGGAGGACGAAATTTCCGAGGAGGGCAGCGTCGATCTCGAGAATGAAAGTGAGGATGACCTCGAGGAAGAAGTTGAGGGTGAGGTTGTCGAAGCTGGTGACGATGCCATGGAGGTTGACGAAAAACCAGCTGGTGATTCATCCAAGCCTCAAGAGGTGATGGCCCACTAAGCACCATTTGTCTTCGGTCGGATATGATTTCAGCAGCCTATCAGTAGGCCTTTTCTGCATGCAATTTTGGTGTGCCGTACGAAGTTATGAGAAGCCTTGGTATGAATGTTAATTGGCTTATGGTAGGAGTATGAGTCATTTGATGGTGAATGACCGAGCATGGCTTATAGACACTTGACTTCCTGTTCCATACATAATACAAATACGAATGGTTCATCCCTCTCGACTTTACAGTTAACCAGGTACTTGTAGAGGAATTCAATTAAAGTCATCTTTATTTCGTTCTCTGCCTATAAGAATTTGACTTTTCACCACTCAATTCGGTAAACTGTTTAGTTCCGTCTAGGAAATGAATTAGATTAGAAATGTGTTTATTATTAGTATTAAGAGGTAGAGGTTATCAAGTACATATAAGACACTTACCACGATGGACTGACTTGCCATCTTTCCATCTCCTTTCCTAGAGTTCCTGTTTTATTCATTCTCTCCAATCCGGGAAGGGTGAGTCCAACTATTGGTAGTTCTCTAATCAAAGGCCTTTTAGCCAACCATCGAAACACCTTTCTCGATCAATTGGTACGTTCGCATCTGTAATGTAAAATGATCCCACTAAAAGACGTGATCTACTGATCATCTCTTTGATCGCCATATGACATATACCTGTTGCCATAAATTTACTAATGCAGCTCTTATAGGACAAGATTACGCAATAGGTATATATTCCTTTATTTTCCTCCTGTAGTAACCATGCTCCTTTGATACGCGAGGTCTTGTTATGCACGTAAGGAGGCTGGAAGCAAAGGAATTCCTTAGTAAAGAATCTGCCACAAGTCAACAAATGCGTTGTTCAACTGCCTATTGGTGAGTTCTTGGAGACTAATTCATTGCGCGAACTCCACATTTGTTGAAGTGATGGGCATTAATGACAATGCGGTAGAAGAGAGCTTTCAACGAGAGCTTTCTTCTTCGGTAATTAAGTAGTGTACCTACCTGTTAACTGATTTTCTTATTATGTACCTTTTATGTTCCCCACGTGATGATTATAAGTCTTTCTTAAAGACTTCTTTTTGCAGTTGTCTAATAATATTGGTGGAAATCCAGCCTACATACATATCCGTATCTTGGTGGTACTCGTGTTAGCTGGCGGCGGACCAATCAAACTTCAGTTAAACTCATGTTGTCAGAGTGGATAAGCCAACTTCTACTCAAAATAGTATAAGAACAGGGGTTATATTGCGGGGTTGGGGATATATCGGAATTGACAATACGCACGTCTCCTCGCGTAAGTGAGTTGAGGACGATCGCGATCCGAGCAGAGCCGAGAAGGGGGGTATCTGCGGTGTAAATATCACCTTAACCGAAGAAGCACATTAGACAATAAGAATATAGGAAACTGTTAAGCTGCCCGGAGAAAATACACGATATTTACGCAAGCCATGTTGTTAGACGCCGCCGAATTAGCAAAACACAATACACCAGCTTCTTGTTGGATCGTGATAAGCGGTAAGGTTTACGATGTGACGCCGTATTTGGGACAGCACCCAGGAGGGCAGGCTATATTGGTAAAGAATGGAGGAACGGTATGTATAATCGTATAATTAGGCCCGCCATACCAGTACTTTTGGGATCGTAAGATATTAAAGTTTAATTGGAATAACAAAATGTGTAGGATGCTACAGTCGAATTCCGAGCAATTCATTCCCCGGACATATTAGAATACTTGCCAAAGGGGAGCTACCTGGGTGAGATAGACCCTGCAGCTCTAGCATCACTCAAGACGACATCATCATCAAGCAAGACAATAACAACTTCGATCTTACCCCCGTCCCCATCTCCATCCCCGCCACCAGGTCCATCGTCGTCTCCTGTTGTCAAGGGACCGCCGCATATCGCACACTGCGTGACAGCGTTAGACTTCGAGGCAGCGGCAAAGACGGTGCTGCCTAAAAATCCGTTCTCATACATCTCGAGCTCTGCCAACTCCGGCCTTTCACTGCAAGGCAACTTGTCTTCCTGGTCACGTGTCAGTTTCCGCCCCCGGATACTCCGTGATGTCCAGCACGTGTCTGCACGATCGGCCATCTTCGGTCACATCACACCCTTCCCCTTCTACGTATCAGCGATGGGCATGCTCGGCCGAGGCCACCCAAATTCCGAAGCCGAGTTCGTACGTGGTCTAGCACGCCGAGGGGTCCACGGTATGATCAGCAGCTCGTCTTCGCTGCCCATGGAGGAAATAGTCGCGGCGCTAAGCGACGAGCAGCAGAAGCTTTCCAGCCAAGCTGAAAGGACGAACCAGAAGATCGATTTTCCTCCCTCGCAGCTTCATTTCCAACTCTACGTGCACTCGGACCACGCTGTCACGTTGGCTCGCATCAGGCGAGCTAAAGCCGCCGGTTTTAAGAGCATCTGGGTGACTGTCGACACGGCAATGCTGGGGAAGCGCACGTCGGACCGACGAGTTCAGGCAGCAGAGGCGCTTGAAGCCGGGCTCGAAGATGCTGCGGAAATGGCTGGGGTCGGAAAGAACACCGGGTTCTACCCGCCGAGGGGGCATTTCCAGCCGTCACTGTCGTGGACAGACCTCTCATGGATCAAGAAAGAATGGGGCGGACCCCTCGTGCTCAAGGGCGTACAGTGTGCCGAAGACGCGAAGTTGGCGCTGGAGCACGGGTGCGAGGGCATCCTGCTCAGCAATCATGGCGGCAGACAGGCGCACACGGCGCCCGACGCGTTGACGACACTGCTCGAGATTCGGACGTATTGCCCGGAGGTGTTAGGGAAACTCGACATCTTCGTCGACGGTGGCCTGCGCGACGGTGCTGATGTGCTCAAGGCTATATGCTTAGGCGCCACAGCGGTGGGCGTGGGCCGCCCCTTTTTTTACGCACTAGCGGCCTATGGTTCGAAAGGGGTAGAAAGATGCATTGACAGTATGTCTCTCCTCATAATCTCTTCTTCTTCTTCTTTCAAAATCACAAGATGTTATTTACTAATAACTATAATTTCCGTGCAGTTCTTTCCGATGAGTTAACGACCGCAATGAGGCTCATTGGGGTTACGTCTCTTGATGAGGCGCAACCTGATAGAGTCAATGCTAGGCGTCTACTTAATGACATGTGGTGTCCCGAGAAGAGTCGTCTATAAAGTTGTTGTTGAATAGTACGAAGTATATTTATATTTAAAGTCCAATTTTCTTGGATAAAAAAGATTGCTTAGTGTGTACCTTATTTTGCAGCATTACCTGTTAAAATGTACCCAAGTACTTTAGGTACCTACATACGTGCCCCTTGTTAGCTGAATCCTGGGGGCTGTGGCCGGCTGTGGAACATTAAACTACCTACCTCTTATTAGTTTCTCATCAATCATCAATTTGTCAAGTTTAAATGTTGTTTACCTCCTAAAAGAATATGAAAATACAAAATATTACGATATCACAATATTCATTTGAGTCAGCTCCATCCATACCAATCAACTTCTATACAACCTTATTTTCTCTTACTACTAACTAACTGGGAAAATACATTACTATGAGGCTTCTGAATTGCAAGAATATGCAGATGAAGGAGTTCTTTGACAGTGATATTCCCTCATATGCGATCCTCTCTCATACATGGGGCGATGATGAAGTTTCGTATCAGGACTTCCGGGACGGGTCCTATCTGGAGGAAGGATCCGGGTTCACGAAAATCCGAGGGTTTTGTGCCAAAGTGAGTCTCGATTGGGGTCATTTAATCAGCTGGGTATGGATAGATACATGCTGCATTGATAAATCAAGTAGCGCCGAGCTCTCTGAGGGTATGTTTCTGCTTTACCCTAAACATCGATAATGTAGAGACTAACACCCAAGCCACTAAGCTATCAACTCTATGTTCCGTTGGTATCGACGTTCATCAATGTGTTTTGCCTACCTTTCAGATGTGGAGTACTCTGGCTCTTTGGACGATGAGAACTTGGCTTTTAGATATAGTCGCTGGCATACGAGAGGTTGGACGTTGCAGGAGCTTCTAGCGCCGCGAGTTATGCAATTTTGTGATAAGTCGTGGAATACCATAGGGGACAAATATACACTCGCCGGAACGATTGCGGAAGTAACTAATATCCCAATACAATTCCTGAGGAGAGGGCAGAGTGTACACGAAGCAACAATAGCACAACGAATTTCGTGGGCCTCGGCGCGCGTGACTTCAAGGAAGGAAGATATGGCGTACTGCCTATTAGGGTTACTTGATATCAATATGCCTCTTCTCTATGGCGAAGGTGACAAGGCGTTTATTCGGCTCCAAGAAGAGTTGGTTCGAACTACGTACGATCATACAATCCTCGCATGGGGTCTTAACTGCCCAATGCCTCGGATATCGTATCCAGCCTTGCCATTTCCGACCTGTTTCGCTAACTCACCTGCGGCATTCCGTGCGTGGGATCCTGAAATCACAAGTATCATTGGCGGGAAACACTATTCACAAACAAATCTTGGCATATATATCGATTTACGAATTACCAAGTTTGAAAATTATAAAAACATGGGTCTCGCCTTTCTGGATTGCGGCCCTGTTGGACGAGATCCTTCTCAGGTTGTAGGCCTGCCCCTGGAGCTACACGAGCTACCTACTGGTGTAGTACTTGCAACCAGAGCGTATAGCAATGCCCCATTCCTCGTACCTCTTAAATCAGATTGTTCCAGAACACCCGTTTACCTTCCTTTAAAGAGGTGGCAACCACCATCCGGACTCGCCTTTAATGTAGCGATAGAGCTGGCACCTTTCATTGATCTCGGCTATTACCTTGCCGATTTCTTTCCCACTCCGTCTATTACATACCCCTCCATTACAAACCGGGCTGAGGACAGTCTTGTTTTCAAAGATGAAGTCAACTGTCAGAGGCTATTTCGTCTTTGCCATCCGAGTTATACCACCATTCTCCTATTTATCGAACCTACTCATTCTGACTTGCATCCCGAGATCAAAGCTGAGCTAAGAGTTGCTCCTACGACGAGAACTCTTACTTCGTGGCATTTGCTCATCGAGCCCGATTTTGACCGGGTTGGTTTCGACGAGCTATATAAATCTGTCTCGTGGACCTTAAGGGGGCATTTGACATCCAGTAATGACTGGGTTTACACGGGGGAACTTAGCATTGACAAGGATGAGATTGTGGCCTTAAGTTCGGTGGTCTGACTGGATATTTATATATAATAATAACACATAATTTCCTGGAGGGTATTTCTTGATGCGCTAGAAAGGCATAAACAAAGGCCCTCAAGGTTGAATTCTAGTTATAATTATTTGGTTAATAAGTTGATAGGAGATCCACATTGTCGGGGTTTCTGAGCGGAAAGGGACGGACGGTACCTACGCGGCAGCTTGAATTTACCCGCGCTCCTGTTACATTGTTGATTGTTGTATTGGATTAGGTTAGGTACTTTCTAGTGTGGGGTACTACATATGATACAAGAGGTATTTATACTTCTACATACCATGTGACCATGACAGCTCCGCTTAATGGCGGGACCATTCCATTTAGTCTATGTAAGCTATCGATAGCTTGCCGTCACTTAATTCGTCACTTAGTTAAAGCTTAAAGTTTCTACATAGGAATTAGTTAGGTGCTGTCGAATTAGTACCTTAACTTAGTACCTTAACTTAGTACCTTAACTTAGCACCTTATTACATCGTCCCAAGGGCTTAATACCGTGCCCTGTCATCGAAAACGCGGGTTGATTTAGTTCTGGACATAGGTACCTAGGTATGGGCTAGGTCAATGATGGCGGGTATATAATAAAGCACGAGATTCATTTCAGCAAAAGTCTATAGAGGGAAGAAGTGTGGGCTTGCCCAGCGCCTTGGACTCATCATGGGGCCTAGGTCAGGTCGGTCATCATATGAGTCAATGATCTGAAATCTTACGCCAAGCAGAGGAGTGCCATCAAACGGCTTGGGAACACGAGCCCTCTGGTGATAACCTTACTAGGTAATATTCCGTATCTGCTCACATCTTTCTAGGATAAATTTCCTCATTTCTTTACCGAGAAGACAAGGCAGTATTATATATATTCTGTCTTATACCCCGCATCACTATACGAAGCTTACCTCTCGATGCGAACTTGGTGCTGAACTCTCAGCTGGGGTACCTTTAGCTTACTGCCGTAGTCTTTTTGATATATTTGGAAGAGGTTAGCATTCCCCAAGCCGCCAAGATGTCGATTCTAGACCTTACTTGGTAAACGTTTAGCTTCCTCGTTGGTTCGCAGTATATAAACGGCCGCTTGGTTATGGGCTATGTCAGCATGATAATATCAAATAGACCAATGATAAGTGCTATGGCGCAAAGCGGCATAGTGGTGTGACTGGGTTATTTGTGCTTGGCGGCTTATGATTCCGACAGGCGAGTCACCTATCAGGGCAAGATCACCATACGACAGCCTGGTTAAGGATCTGGTGTAGCATTTTTACTGCTATATCATTCGACGACGCGACCGGATGCTGAACGGTCTGATCGGTCTGATCTGGGTAGGTAACGTCGTGACACCGATAGGGAAGCTGAGGGGCAAAATGACAAAGGGTGTACCTAGGATTCATACGTATTAGAGCTGAACTTTTTATCATTTTACTTTCTTCCGCTGTTTCGCGCCACATATAACACATAGCTTCCCCCAATCCTTCCTTTCAAGTAATATTTCTTGCTGGAGATTGGCTCATCGCCTCCGCTGTTTGGAGCAATATTCTACCAATTTGGTGGTTTCGGGTTTGAGGAGAACGTCGTCGAGTAGTAAAAACTTACGTAGTATTCGTATTCTCACTATGGCGAACGACGCGACCAGCGATAGCGTCGTGGCCGCCCACAAAAGCCCTCCCATTGCCGAGGACAAAGACCCGCATGTGTCGGATCTCAAAGCTATCGGCTCGGGCCCGGGTTCAGATATAGATGATCGTATCCGTGGACCAAACGGCGAGGAATACCCTACAAAGGAAGAACTTGACACTTTACGACGCGTTAAAGGTCCTATTAATTGGATTATCTACACTATCGCTTTCATCGAACTTTGCGAACGGTTTGCTTACTATGGAACCACTGCTGTCTGTACGTCTACTATAGTTGCATTTCCAAGTTTCTTTTGCCGGATTTAACTAATTATTGAATATATAGTTGTCAACTTCATTTCGCAGCCTCTTCCCCCCGGCTCTACCACCGGAGCTGGCGGCACGGACCTACAAGCTGGTGCTCTCGGTCAGGGTCAGCAAGCTTCGACCGGTTTAGTGCTGTTTAATTCTTTCTGGTCTTATCTGATGCCTTTGTTTGGTCAGTGACATTATAGCATCGAATATATTTATAACTGAAGTTAAACTCTTGTGCTACAGGTGGTTGGCTGGCCGATACATATTGGGGCAAATATAAGACAATCCATGTGGCTGTCGTGGTAGCCATGTTTGGTCATATTATTCTCATCGTTTCAGCGCTGCCGCCAGTGATCGCCAACCCGAGAGGCGCGCTCGGTTGTTTCTCTGTCGGCTTGATCTTCTTCGGCATTGGTGTTGGTCTTTTCAAAGCTAACATCTCTCCTATGATCGCGGAGCAGTATGAAAGCACACAACCGAGAGCTATTGTCAAGACTTTAAAAAGCGGTGAACGCGTCGTGGTCGATCCCGTCTTAACAATTTCTATTATCTATATGCGCTACTACTTTTTCATCAATGTTGGATCATTGATTGGCTCTATTGCGATGGTGTATGCTGAGAAATATGTCGGTTTCTGGCTCTCCTTTGTTTTACCTACGGCCCTATTCATTCTCTGTCCCATCGTCTTAGTTGCTTTCAAAGCCAAGTACGTCCGTCATCCACCAACAGGCTCGGTTCTTAGTAAATCAATTGCATTGGTTGGTTTATCGATGAAGGGACGTTGGTCTTTGAATCCTATTACCACTATCAAACACATCCGTGAGCCTGGTTTCTTCGAGAGGGTTAAGCCGAGCAAGATACCTGAGTCTGAGCGCCCGGCTTGGATGACATTTGATGACCATTGGGTCGATGAGGTACGCCGTGGTTTCAAAGCTTGCAGCGTTTTCGTTTGGTACCCGATCTACTGGCTTTCTTATAACCAATTGAACAATAACCTCGTTTCCCAAGCTGCAACGATGCATCTTGGAGGTGTGCCGAACGACGTGGTTTTCAACCTCGATCCTTTCGCCCTATTGATCTTCATCCCTATCTGCGACAAGTTGATTTACCCCGCTATGAGACGTGCTGGTATTAATTTCACCCCTATCAAGAAAATCACGACTGGGTTTGCCCTAGGAACTTTAGCGATGGCGGTTGCCGCTATTATCCAACACTATATATATATGCAAAGCCCATGCCGAAGCCGAGACGGCTACGGGTATGTCGATGACTGCAGGGCGCATCTCGGGCGTCCAGCTGATGCTCCAGAGTCTGAATATAAACCCCCGCTGTCAGTCTGGATCCAGACACCTGCATATGTCATTTTGGCGCTGGCTGAGATCTGCGCGTCGATTACCGGTCTCGAGTATGCTTTCACGAAGGCGCCGAAGAATATGCGAGGTTTCGTTACTGGTATCTTTTGGTTCTCTCAGGCTTTCGCATCTGCGATTGGCCAGGCCTTTGTTCCCCTTGCTGCTGACCCTAACCTCGTATGGCTATACATGACGATTGCTATCATCTCAGCCCTCGGCGGTGTTGGGTTCTGGTACAACTTCGCGAGCTTGGATCGCGAAGAAGAAGCCCTGAATGCACTCCCTGACAGCTTGTTTCAGGGAAGTCAAAACAAGGATGTAGATTTCGCTGCTCTCGAAGCGGCACAAGTGGAACAGGAGAAACTTCGACACGCCCAAGGACTGGATAAGGCCCTGTAATCGAAAGGCATTATACTTGCACATTGCACTATGTATGTATCCCGATAATATTATATTATGGGTGAGGTACCCAGGGTGCAACATAGACTAACTATCCCCTACTGCCTAGCAACACAATAATTATTACCATCCCGGTTAACAGGATATAAAATTCTAAGCTTCTCATAAAATATACCCAATACATAGAGTCATGAATTCAACTAGTTAGCAAGCTCCGCCGTTTGTCCACCTCGATATAGGATTCGCGGTGTCCATACGGCGCATTTGAAGTCATGCTCACGCTAGGCCCCTTCATAGCAAATGGCAGTGCAGAATCATGCGTTAGTAGATTGGCAAGCCCTTCTCTTAAGTCATATATGTACTACAAAGTAGGAGAAGACGATATGGGTATGATTTCAGGATGCTACGTACCAACTGCTAAGGTAGATGACACAGAACATCGAATATTATATGACTTGGGTTAACGTACACGTAGGTATCACCTTGTAAAGCTCACTTCTGTCCTATAGCTCAGAAACTACCAGGAGGATACTTGACCCCCTATCTACCCTGCAATGGAATCTATTGAACGTAAACTCCGCAGTATGGACAGTCACGCCCAGAGAAAACCCATACTTCGAAACCGTCCTTCCGGCATTTTGGGCAACGCTTGCCTAGAGCCTATGATTAGGAGCAGTTAGATCAGAATATTTACTATGTATTAGAGTATACTGAACTAGATCTAATACCTTTCCATACATAGTATCCGGACCCTGACTGCTATCAACGAAGTTTCCAGCGGTAGATGGGCTATAAAACACCAGTTGACTGGGTTCGTTGGCTTGTCGTATTTTCTTTGCTGGGTTGGGTGGGTGCGTTTGTGCCGGCCGGCCCAGCGTTGTTGCTTGTAGAGTTACCCCTCAAAGATGACATTGCGATTGAATATGGACTAATAAGTTCTATGACATATGGTTGACGCGTGATAATCTCAGGAGTTAAGGAAGTATATCTGTAGTTGTATTTATATTAATATTAAGGTTAATTTACCATGTTTAGTAGCGTATAAATTTGATACCACTTGAGTTCCCAAAATTAGACTTGATAGACTAAGGAATGGCTGGCTCTAAATTCATAGCGTATACCTTTATCCTTAGTTACAACTCATAACTAGCCGAAGCTACGGCATTGGCGTACGTTCTTAGATTATTAAATTGGACACAAATCGATCCTTTATCCACCACTTCTCATGAATGGAAATTCGGAGGTTCCTACCACGATATCGTAGATATATATCTTTGCGATAATGAGGTGGAGCGGCCAACATACAGAGGGGAGTCTCAAGCTACCACTGCATCTCGGATGCGAATAATGTTTAAGCAGCATTTTATGGATAAGCTACGGTTCATGAAAGAGAGGTACTGGGAAGTTCAGGCTAAAACGCTTTGTTATGATCGCTTTTCTTTTCTAATCACGTTAGGGGAGGGGAAGAACTATGAGGTATTTCCCATTCCTCAAGGGCTCGGTCGGTACGATCAATATCATCGGTTTATTTTCTATCCGAGTGTCATGTCGATGATATGCTGGGCTTCTGTAAATAGGGTATCTATGATATGAAAATTGCTATAAAGATTTAACTACCTAGGCTTGATGGACAGAAACTCTGACTACCTACCAGGCAGATACACGGGTGCGTGGGTAAGTCGACTACCGCGGGAGTTGAGCAAGTGTTTGACGATGGTCAACTACTTCAACCAAAATATACTGCGTCGTAACGTATCGTATATCGACTGTCTTTTCGACACTGTTGCCTATCTAGGGGTGCCAAGCTGTGCCTTGATTTGCTGTTGAAGTGTGGTCGGGTGATATCAACCAATACCAAACTACAGCCGAGTCCATACTTGAGTTGATGTTGAGAACTCAACTAAATTCTATATCGGTAATGGAAATGATTCTTTCGACATTGAGTTGTCTTCTATCGTGGTGGCTTGTAGCTCGAGTGGCTCAAACGCTGGTGGTAATGGGGCATTTTCAACCCATGCTCGTATCCCTTTAGCGAACAATAGAGGATCCTGTAAATTCCACGCGTGAATAGCATTCTTTACTACAAACGCGCGTGATCCCCTACCATCATTCGTGCCTAATGACTCTAACAACTTTCCCATTTCTCTCATACCCAAAACATTATCCTGCTTGCCTCCAGCGACTAGGGCGACTCTCTTATCCTTCTTTCCAACTTCTACCATGTCATCTCTGCTCCAATTAGCAGTGTCTCGAGACCCTGCTTCGAACAATTCTGATGTGTTATTCCGCTTGATTTCTTTCACAAGGTTTTCATTTTGAAACTCTGGAGCCCATCCTGTTGCTTTGAGCAGCCATCTTTTCGGGCTATGTAGTAGAACCGATAGCCCTATATAAGCAAGCTTCGGCTGGGAGTTTATGCTCTTCCACAAGTCGTTGACTGGAGTAGCGCCCGATAAGAAGGCGCTCAGAACAACATCTGGATGCCGTTTTATAATTTCCATTGCTATAAATCCACCCGTTGATAATCCAACGAGATGTGCCCGTCCGTCGTGAGCATGTTCCCGGATTATTTCGGCCACGAGATCAGCAGCTACGACAAACGAGAAAGGTTTAATATGGCGTGAGCGCGAGTGCTGCGGTAAATCGGGTATGAGAAGATGGTATTCGGATAGCTTGGGCCAGCAATGTTGCCATTCAACATGAGAGGTCAACAAGACGTGTAGCATCACGATCGTAATGGGCGCAAGAGAGTTAAGCGAGGTAAAGAACAGACCCTCATTGCTTCCGCCATCCGATAAGCTTGCCGTAGTCCAGCTACTGGTAGACATCGTCCTACCACCTATAGGCAATGTAGTGTCTCTACTCCGCCAACTACTGCTGGTAGTTGCCGAAGATATGACCCTGCGCATCGTAGCTAGCGTGGCCTTCTGACTGTATGATGGTCTTGGAACTGCCGGACCGTTGCCTAATTCTCACTTAGACACCGTGCCCATAGGATGCATAGGATAAATCGTATTAGAATCGCGAAATTCCGTGTTAAGGTATATTACGAAAGAATTCAATGTCCCTGTTGTGCCAGATTATGCCGCAGTCAATGGGGATGTGATAGGAGATTTGCGGCGTAGCGAGGAAATAAACGTAGTCCCGCTCGGCCGCGTTTATCAAGATTCCAGAACCACTGTCATCACCTGATTTTTCTTCTACGCTCAGCTTGTTCTGCGAACACCGGCTCAACGCCGAGGCCGTTACATGGTAAGTTCTCCAGACTTCCTCGCCTAGCATATGTAGTGGGCTCTCGGAATACCTGGATCCATCGAATCGCATTAATGATGTTCGAAGTCCGGCATACTGGGAGGAAGAAAAAAAGAAGCTTAGCGTCATAAATGTGCCGGCATCGTCGCTTTCATTGGCCGGTTTCGTTGATGGATGAGGAGAAAGTCCATTCTTAGATTAGCGACCCAGGAAGACGATACGCTTTCAGATAAACCCACTGACTAGCAACGCACGGTCTTCAGACAGATCAGGTTTCATTCCATGCTATGTACGTAGTGATTTACTCTAGGGTGAGACCATATCGGGATAATCCTTGCATCAGGGGTTCATTGAATTCCCACGTGATATTTAAATATTACATAGTATAAAACAAGGGCCGAGGTTTATAAAATACACACATACTTGAGCGTTTACTAAAGTGGCAAACTGCATCTTAAACAAAGCTCTGTTGTAAATTTCGATGTGTCTCATGTCATATCGAAACTCGTATCTCACACATTACCGCGCGGATCGACCCAGATATCAACCCAGATATCACTAATCAAAATACCTTTTAGTTTTCTCGATTCGGTCAGTTGTGGGATTAGTCCGACGTAGGTGTCGTATATTGACTACTAGGCTCACGCAATTTAACGTAAAATGACACGGTAATGATGCTGTATCCAGCATTATCGGTTTCGTACCCGGGACTTGGATCGTGGAGTTCATCTGCAATCTAGTTAGATTTCGGGAAATCCCGACGATGAAGGCAACACCCAGCCTCCTGTTCTACTGACAAGCCTCTGTCCCAAAAAAAAACGCATGCTTTCTGATTATCCCGATATTATGCCCTGATGAATGAGCCAAGCAGGGTTAGTACCTAGACATTCGATAGATAAGTCCCCGAATTTACAAGCTAAAACCCGGCCCAGGGACTTGGGTCACAAATGATAGGAGTCAAATGGCATGGTTGTCTAACAAGGATAAAATTAACAAGTCTACGTAGAGTGGGTTGTTTATGTAGCTTCGATCGCCTGGCTACCTGGTCAGCTAGCGTTATCTTGGAGTAAACCCAGAATGGGAGTTCATACATTGTATCATCCACTCGAAACTGCTAGACCTAATTTCGTCCAGATCAGTTGATATCGTACATTCATGCTTATATTGACTGTTGTTAACTTGAGAATTCCTCTCACACCTCGTTTCGAATTTTGTTAGGGGTCGCTACCTTAAGAACCCATTATGTTGGTACCCTGTTCTCAGGACGGTATCTCTGTAGTAGGTTTCTTAAGAGCCGGGGATAATGAAGACGGCTACAACGATAGTAAGCTCAAGGTACAAATCAGCAATGTATCGGAATGAGCTTTCACCAGGCCCTCCTTACCAAACCAACTTTTCCATTCCTCGAGTAGTACTCGATACCGAATATACCCAGGTGCCAACCATCAACAGCGCCATATTCAATGTGGACGAGATATAAATATTATTGACTACTATTAAAGCATAACAAGTAGCGTCGCCAATAGCAAACATCAACGAGAATCCACAGCTGCTAAGTAGGAAACCTGCTAAGTTCTTTCTACTTTAATAACTGCAGGCTCCGGTAATTGCACTGGGTTTCTAGAGAATATAGACCTCGGCTTTTGTTTAAGTATATCGTACAGGCCTATATCAGCTACTGGCAGTGTCGGTGTACTGGCACTGATTCTGGTAACAGTGTTGGAAATTGGCCCCCAATCTAATAGACCTTCCTCGTCATATGCCTTGCTCGGGGCCAGTTTACTACACTGGCAGCCGCTGCGAAACTGCTCCGTAACATAGCCGTAGCTCTGTCGCACTTTGAGCCAGAATGGGCGTAGAACCGGAAGGCAAAGCGAGAAGATGGCCAATTCAGGTTCGAGAACACGAAGGTGCATATCACGACTGCCGTAGGAAACGACTGTAGCCGTTATATACTTGTCTGCACGTAGCAGAGCAGCTATTCGAATGCAGGAGACCACAGTGACGCTAGGATTAAAATTAATTTTATCACATCTGATTTATGGGGCGGCTAACTCACCAGAGTCCCAGGCCAAAGAGTATTGTTAAATTTATCTTAGACCTAACCCTCATCTTCAGCGTCCAGATAGGCCGTATGGGTAGAATGAGGACAATGGCATTCGTAATCACATTGAAAACTGCATTCCCAATGTCAACCTTCTTATTATCCAAAACGTGACCGAATACTGGGTTTCCCCAGAGGTCTGCCGCGACCTCCGAAAGGGTGAAAAGTTGTACATATACTGATATATACAATAGTACTATGATAGAGCCGACGACCAGGCAGAGTACTCGGAACGATTTGTGGATGAATATTCTCATGTATAAATATATGGCGCTGAGTTTTGTGAAGCCCATAGAGGACAAATAGAGGGATTCGAAAACAAGGAGGACCTAGTACAAAGGTATTAGCATAGCTTACAACGACTTCAATAACTCTCGAATAAGGATACCTACACAGAGAATACTCCTGTCAATTCGGTCTGGAGAAACAAGATAGTATCCTCCATTCCATACTAATTAACAAAAGTTAGCAGAGCCGCGGCCAAGTTGAGAACTTGACATACAGTAGACAGAGACTGCAAATAATGCAATCTCTAGAACAACAGCAATGAGGATAAACCCATCGTCCCATCCAACACCGTTCGTCAACCGCCTGGAATGGAAACGTAGCCCAACTGCGACCAGGCTGATGATGAATATGGTGCAGCTGATAGCGAACACGGGCGCATCCATATTCTTGCGGGTTGAGGTCGAGCGACCGATATTTTACTGTATTTGACGCTATAGCGCATTTGAAATGGATATATATATTGTTCTTTAACATTCATGATGATTACTTTGCCTTGGTGTTTAGTGATTAAGATTTTTAGTCACATTGGTTAGGGTTGTGCACAAGTGTGTTGATAGAAGACTGAGGACCAAGTCATTGCCTTGCATCATACGTCATGCAAGACCAATTCAGATCATGTGTATCATGTATCCAATTGTTAATGTTAATAGATTCAATTTTATCGTTTAAGGGTTCAAGTCACCGTCAATAAATCAATGATTCTAAATAGGTGAATAGGTAACGGTAGGTAGTAAATGTGTCCTAGTAATTATATTTCCCCTAATATTTTAACCAATCCGCTATTAGAGCCGCTCATTACTATCTACATACGCCTGGTTGATTGTTTTTGAATCAATATTCAACTCTCTTGGCTCTTTCTTAACCTCCTGTCACTGTACTACAAAATGCATAGGCCTGATCTCTTAGCACGGCCCTCTTATTATAATGCTCTTACATGTGATCCTTATTGAATCGTCATATGCCTGAGTTAGGTATTAAGTCCAAAATTAAGTCTTAAGTGATTAGACACCTAATGATTAAAAGCCTGTATAGTAGCGATTGCGAGTATAGATATAATGCCAACTAGGTAACCTTTCGTTGTAGAGATAGTTATGATAAAATAAACTACTTGAAAGATAGGATAGATGTTTGCGAAAGTACTAAACTTATGACAGGGCACGATATATTGGTAAGTTGGGTGGAAATCCTACACAAGATGTAGTTATTAAAGACTGTAGTAATTACCTAGATTTGCAAATGGTGAAAAAATGCACTTTATAAACTTCAAAGGTTCAAAGGAAGAAATAGGATTTAACTAACTAACCTAGATGGATATTACCGGGTTACCGATCCATATGGGCTTTCATAGAATTGTTAATTATTATGGACGACGGTTTTCATAATGGAGACTCTAAAGTGCCAGATCTATAAAACTAGGTAGTCTACATACTTAAGAAATGCCAGGATTCTAGATGAGAAATCTAAAACAAAGAACATGTTCAGTATGTATAGACGTAGGCTGTGGCAGTGAGGTTAGAGTTCTCTGCGGGATAACTTCCATACTGTTTGATTTCACCTCGTGGCAAGCAACTCAGAATGAAGTTACTCCCGATGGTGGAATTTAATTTTCCGACATGTTCGTATCGCTTTAGGTAGGTTAATACCCACTAGGTTAGGCGATTTATGATCTTTGCAATAGACTGGTATGAATGCTGTACAGATAGGACGTAATAATGTTGGTAGAAAATTAAAAATCATCGTAATACGTATGAAGAAATACCAAACAGAGTTGTAGAAGGGTTAAAGTTCACTGAATACTCGAGAGCCGACTTGGTTAATTGAAATAGTACGAAAATATTCTATGTCCTTTAACCCAATACGACCTGCCTGCATGGAGAATGTGACTTGTCATGTAGTTGGTACGTCTTGGCATTGGATTCGTCTATCAACTGACATATGGGGGGTCACATCCGATCCCACAGAAGGTCAACAGGGACCCGGCCGAATCTGCATGGCCGAAACCCAACTTTAACCGCTCCTATAGCCGGCACGGTAGCAATTATATAGGGGAAAGACATCAAAATCAGGTCACCAGCGTATAAATATTTACGCGTCAATAAACACGAAGAGGAGCAAGAGGAGCATGTTAATAACAGGAAGGCCCTTAACGTAGTATCGGCTTTATTCCTCAAGGAGAAAAGCTTTGCCTGCGGATATGGATCCGACTCCAGATAAAACGTATGTGCGAGAGGCGGGCACAAGCTATCTTTGGTGCGCTTGTCTCCGTCGCGGGCCTCGACTCGTATTTCTTTCAGTGCCGCGGGAGATCTTACCCCAGAAATCCGGATATCCATATTGCTTCTCCACAGCGGGTGAGAGCTTTACCCCTGGTTCTCGCCCATTATATGAACAGGACAGCTCGCTGGTGCTTAGACAGGTTGCACGCTCGTTCGAATTGCATGTCGATCCCGCATGCACACTTCGGCTAGTTGCATCTGATTAACCTAGCCGCCTATCTTACCTCGAGATGCATTACCTTCGAGCTTTACTCCTTGCGACTCTGTCGTCTCTCGCCGAGGCGAGTTTACAAGTAGTACCCGGCGCTACTTGGACTACGGTGCGACCCTTTCGATCCTAAAATATCAGTCGTCGTAGCATAGCCCCTATTCCCCTATTCCCCCCTATTTACCCCTTGTTAGCCCCTTTTCAATCCCATCTTCAACTCCACCTCGACAACAGCTCCACACCAAACACAACCAGCCGCTAATATATCCTCGTCTAGTCAAACGGTGAGCACTTGCAAGCCCATGGCGCCGGTGTCATCAAGGTCGACTCTACGTACTACCTAATCGGCGAAGACAAGACGAACGGAAGTGCCTTCCAGAACGTCAACTGCTACTCTTCCCGAGACTTGGTGCAATGGACCTATGTCGGTGCGCTCCTCTCGCGTACCTCCAGCGGCGACTTAGGCCCGAGCAGGGTCGTAGAGCGTCCTAAGGTAGTTTACAATGCCAAGACGGGCAAGTACGTGTTGTACATGCACATCGATTCATCCAGCTACGGGGAAGCCAAGGTTGGCGTGGCCACTGGCGACTCTGTGTGCGGCAATTACACGTACATCCAATCGTTTCAGCCACTGGGTCACCAGAGCCGTGACATGGGTCTATTCGTCGACGACGACGGCGCCGGTTACTTGCTAAGCGAAGACCGCCAGAACGGCCTGCGTATCATGAAGTTATCCGACGACTACCTCACCGTGGAGAGTAGCACGTACCTGTGGTCTGACAGCATCGAAGCTCCGGCTGTTCTTAAGCTGAATGGGCGTTACTACATGTTCGGCTCGAAGCTCACCGGCTGGGCCGCTAATGATAACGTGTACAGCACATCGACATCTCTGAGCTCGGGGTGGAGCGCGTGGACGACGTTCGCCGACGTCGGCAGCAAAACGTACACCTCGCAGACCAACTACGTGTTACCAGTCGGCAACAACGCCGCCATCTACCTCGGCGACCGGTGGGTGAGCACGAACCTCATGGCATCGACGTACGTATGGCTACCCCTAACCATCAGCGGGACCAACGTGACCATGGCCAACGCCGAGTCCTGGGTTCCAGACCTATCCTCGACATCGGCATCCGCGTCGAAAGCCAAGCCGTCGGAGACAGCATACGAAGGCGAGACCGCTGCATACGGCGGCAACACACGCAACGTAAGCTGCAGCAACTGTTCTGGGCAGACGGCGGCGGGCTATGTGGGAGGCCCGGACAAGGGAACCGTGACGTTCCAGGGAATACGAAGCGACGCGAATGCGCGCACAACCGTGCGCATACGTTACGTGAACGGAGACAGCACGGCGCGGTACGCAAACGTGCGAGTGAACGGCGCCGCTGCGCAGAAACTGGCATTCCTACCAACAGGTAGCAGTGTGTCCAGTAGCACACTACACGTCGACCTAAAGTCGGGCAGTACAAATGAGATAGTCATTGAAGGCGTAAACGATGGATGGGGACCTGATATCGACAGACTGCTAGTTCCTGTGCAATGAGCCTAGTATGATACTAGATTCAAGAGATTGGAGGAATGGATGATGTTGATACAAAGTATATAGTACCCGAGGAGGTATCATCAGTTCTAGGTTAACAATGTAGGCAATGTAGGCCCTGTATGTTGACACTCTGCGAGTCGCTTATCATACGTTGGAAGTGTTACCCCCAACTTATATTTTTCCACACGAGCCTTTCATGCCACTCAAATTTAACCTTCCAGGCTCTTCCATTCATATATGTATACCAAGCCCCCAAAACTAAATGCTACATTGATCTACGATCCCTGCTAGAAAGCTCGAGGAAATAGACGCTTTAGAAATAGCATTGACAATAGCCGCCGGACCAGCCGAGGAAATAACAGCCAAGCAACTCGGATTCGAGGGATAATCCCTCGCTTGCTTTACATCCCCTGTTTGATAACAACAACAACAACAACAACAACAACAACAACAACAACAGCAGCAGCAGCATTCGACGACCTAGTTGACGACGCCTACCACACCTCCCCCCAACTTGCCTCCAACAATACGACAACATTAGAACCACACGACCTTGCGCCCGTCCCCTCTAACCCCTAAAGGGAGATTGACAATTATTATTCTGGAAACTCCATGAACTAGGAAACCATTTCGCATTGGATAGACCGTTCTCAGACGGTAACATATAATAGAAATGCTAGGAGCGGCATGCCCCTTAACAGTGTTGACATGTACGGCATATGGCCTTACAGTTAAAACTGCGGCCCCAAGTCGTTGCCCGTAGTGGCGTAGCTAACTCTATTGGCAAGATAGACCTTGCTTAGGTAGTCATTTGAAATGGCTGACTAGTATTAAGTTTTCGCAACTGGTGCCCAGAGAGCTGTGGCTACAATAACAAGTCGCAAATATCGCCTGGGATGGGTACAATACTATGATATAGCAAAGAAAATGGTATCAAGTCGTAATGAGCCATAAACGCCGCGCCAGGTCCTGTAAACAAACGTGCTGCAAGTTGATAATGTGAATAAACCATATGAGTCCAGAGGCAAATTCACTAAGACGTGGTGTCGACTGATCACCAGCCTTTCTTCCTGGCAAAGCGCTTATTTAACAAGGCCAGTACCTTTGTGACGTTGAATTGCACATATTCCAGATCCAAGTCATCTTGGTTGTCCTTCTGCATCTCTAACAGGTCGTCAAGCTTCAGGTCAAGTTCTAATAGACCACGGTTGCGCCCTATATGCTGATTAGCTGGGAAAGAAAAAAGCAGTTGAGTTTGTTATAACCAACCTTTATAATGTAGCGAAATAACAAAGGTCCCCGGTAAAGGACTTGTGAAATTGAAGTAGATGTTAGCTCTCCTATTGTCGGGAACATTGCTCTTCTGGATGACACCTTCCTTTTCTAGCTGTTGGTGAGTGAATTTGTATGGTCCAAGCACTTGTTGCTTCTGCTGCTTTCGTCTTGTGCCTTCGGATTGACTTCGTACGTTGTGAAGATAACTCTTGTATGTCTCGAGTTGGCCAACAAGGTACGCGTTGTGATCTCTGATGGTCTTGTATACTTCTTCAAGCTTAGCTGTCTCAGCAATTACACCGTCTTTCAAAGAGCCTAGGTGCTGTAGCTCCTGTTCGACCTCATCCCTCAATAAGCTGAATTGGTCAGACTTATCAATAACCTTCATCTCCTGAAGTTGACTAAGTAGTTCCATGGCACGGATACCTTTCCGAACCATCACCGCATCGTTTCTTGACGTAGCCGCCGCATCCGCAATTCTCTCTAGACGCAGAGGTCGTCGGGCAACTGAACTGGTAGCAGGAATAGACCGCATAACTTGTACAAAGATGGACTTTGCTTCCATAAAGTAGACTTCCTCCTGCGTGATGTCTAGGGCTGCGGTCAGATCATCTATGGCCGTCTCCCATCGGCTAAATAGGGGGAGGTTGATGGCCCTATTCTCCTTTCGAGGTACCTGGGCAGGTGCGTGGCCTAATTCCGATATAATTTGAGCCAAGTGTGAATTTTCGTCCTTACAGATCTCTGAACAGTGCTTTTCGATCAATGAATGCATGGCGTATATCTCGTTGAGAGTAATAGAGAGCTCAAGGTCCTTCTTCGACAGCGCTACATAATTATCCATCTCGAGACTCTCATAAAAATCTTGGACTTCACAGAGATCCAACATAAACTTGTTGACGCGGTCCTTGTTCTGTTGGATGAACGGCTGTAACTTGGCCATGTATGGTTCTTTTGCATACGAGGGCTTATTAGCCAGGTTCTGTAGCATCTTAGCGACTAATGTGAGAGTTCGGCGTGGTCGATCAGACGGCACCCCATCGATGAGCATGTATGATTTCGGTGTGACGATGGCAGGATTGATGAAACGCAGGAAGAAAAAACCACCGATCAACGTGCAGATGACCTGATCGTTCGCATCAGGATACTTTCGTTTGGTCAAACTTCGAATCTGTTTACATATCCATCGGATCCCATAAGGAGCCTCGTCAAGCCCATCTATGATTGTCTGTAGGAAACCGTTGGCGATTTCCGTCAACATTGTTAAACGCGGCTCTATGATTTTCTGCACTTGAGGATTTTCGGCTGCTTGTTCGCCAGTGATACCCCTAGGAAGCGATGGCGGAAGGCTACCGGTATCCTCCTCGATCTGTTGACACATGCGTTCGTAGACTTTCAAAGGATTGATCTCAAGATCTAGATCTGTCAACTCGATTAGGCTGTTGATTCTCTGTGCTAATACCGATCGCAAGAAGCTCTGCCCCGGCCCACGCCTAGTGTAGGTGGTCATCATACGAGAAACCGGCGTATTGGCTCTGAGAAGAGATGAATATTCGGGAGTCGTATCGAATTGATAGGTAAGGACAGACTGAATACAGTTAATCAGAACTGCACCACCACATAGAGATATTTATTGACTTACCTGAAACATAGTCAAGAGGAGATGTTCTTCTCGACTTTCATACTGGTTTCCATATATAGTAAACATAACTGTCTGCAGCAGCGAGTCGATCTCGGACATAGAAACCAATCTGCAGAGGTGTGCAATATGCCTAGGCTCGGATTGTAACAAGAACAGAAGATTACCATATTTCTGCGTTTTGTCGTCGTTAGGAAATGCGCCCTCCTGTAAGTCGGTCGCGTCTTCGAGATGACTGGCTACTTCATTTTGCTAGATACTCGTTCAGTCGCGATGGTATTTATAGGACAGGAAATTCGACAAACCTCTTCTAACGCCATTCGGTTTTGAATAAGCAAAGCGATTCGAGAGTCGAGATACCGAACATCCTTTTCAAGGACAAAGTTCTTCTTCGACTGCGAAGAGATTTTAGATTTCAACTCGCGCAGTATTTTCTGTGCTGTAATCCACCCCCAATATTAGCATCGTGCTATCTCACCAAAATCAACGCTCGTGTCCCTCTTACCTTTTGCGAGGTCATCTTCAATTTCTAGATCCGACTCGTTTGCCGACATAGATAGGTACAGAGCTGACATGGACATTCGCTTAGACTGTCGCGCCGAGCGCGAGCCCTCGTAGGAAGACATGGTGTTTTGACGCGATATCGGTTGAAAGGAGGATGACGAGGCCGTCGACGCCCTAGAAGGTGTTTGTAACATGACTGACATGTTCGAGAGTAATAATTTAGTTTCAATCGTTCAATGGCGTTAATGCCGCTCGCTGGCAACACTATAATAGCAAGCTAAGCACAACGGCGAATTGCGATCATTCCAAAATACCAAAACATCCAACTCAACACTGAGACACCTGTATCGAACCTGTGCTGTCGTTATATTTACAATCTATCCGAGTTCGATAAGTATACTCTACAAGAGGCAGCGGTAGAAACAGTTGAGAAATCGTCTCATCGATCGCGGAATGCTAGCTTTATGTTGAATTGCTCGATCTACAATCGATATACTTGGACGTGAATCGTTCCGCCAAGGCGTAGGATGAATCGGGGTCGAGGGAGGCACAACGATCCAGCGAGGGCCAGATTCAACGTGGATAAACCGGAAATGTTTCGATTCGTCAAATGTTCCGGGTAGTTGATTTATATTCCCGCAAGGGATGGTTCTTCTAACTGCTTGTCGATCGACCAACAAGGTGAACGAGTGAGTGCGTACGGATATACACCTAGAGCAAAGATTTGACTGCGATTAAATCAGACAGTCGGGAGCCTTGTAGTATATCACCAATTATGGGGAGCGGGTATCGTGATAAATTTCTCGTCCCGAATTATATCGACAATTTTCGGTCGGTCTGCTACTGAAGGTCTGACAACGTAGGGCCGGTCTAAACGAACGATGAGAGGGCTGCGCTGGGTTGCGCTGCGACAAAACTAGCCGCGGAATTGGGAGAATTAAGTCGTACACACGGATAAGTCTCAAGACATAGGGTCCTCAAGAGGTCATGCTAGATGTTGCACGGAATTGGTTGGAAATTGACTAAGACGAAGAAGGCGAGAGAGGGGTCGGCGCTCAAAGACTAGGCTACGACAGGGCGCAAGATGGTCGGGGTGTACGGTTGTGTGGTGTACAATAATAAAGGGGTGGGAAGTTCTTGTCTTGGATAACTGCGGGATGGTGGATGGGTAGAAGCACTTGGGGGGGACTTGGGGGGTGGGAACTCGAGAGTGTATGTAAGTGGGTGAATGTAGATGAGGTAGCAGGTACACCCATACATAGGTAGGTTAGGTAGGTACCACAGCCACGTTGATAAAATAATAATAGGTAGTGATAATTCGGTTAGATAGTCGGCTGCATGTACAAAAACAGAAGGAAAGGCTTGACGCTATCGATTAATCCGGAAGCGACCTGGGTCTAGGTAACACTAACAGAATATAATAGCTGTAAAGGGGGAAGGAACAAGGAACATCAAGATACGGTAAGAGCCTAAGAGGTGGTATTATTTGATGATGTGAATTGATAGGTGGTGTATGTAAATGATAGGTAAATGCTCAAATGATACATACATAGACCGATAGACGGCGAAGAGAAAATCCAATTGTCGAATCAAGATAAAAAGTAGATGTTACCTTAGGTAGGTAGTTAGAGGTAAAGTCAAAGTACATAGGTAGTTGTAGCCTCGACGCATTTTTTTTTCTTTGGTTCTTCTTTTCTTTTTCCTCTTTCCCTCTTAGACGAATGAGAGAGTCAGATAACGTCGAGATAGTGCATGTCAATGCCGGTCACTGTCAGGGATGGGCTGTTTTCTGTCTAGTGTAGCGGTTTAGGGGTCGCACAAGTCACTGTAATATGTTTATTTTTAAAATTTTCAGAGTTATGTATATATTAGGTGGGTACCTAGGTATACTAGGTTAAGTACATATTCTTCGTAAGTGGAAAATAAAAACATTGGAGGTAGGGGAAGAGAATCGACTCCGTCCGGAACGGTTGCATTAATATATATTTTAACGTTATTGCTTAAACCGTATAAAGTACCTAATGTACTCCGCGTACATAGGCGCTAATTAACATAATCCTACCTCTTAAGGAGGTACCAACATCGCCTTTAACCCTGTTCATAAATTTACATGCCTTATAATAACGGTGATAATGAACCCATGGGATTCTGTTTGCAAATATTTGCAAAAAGTCCAAAAAGTCATATTATTCATCCCGATATACTTCTTAAAGGAATGGAAAACAAATCAAGCCAAGCAGCCACCCCAATGTAATTGTAATAAAAAAAAATTTACTTACCAGGATAAACGCTATATATGGAGATATGCTATGCCATTAAACACTTCGTGATGATCAACAAGCATTACGGTACAAAGTTGATATAAAACATAGGTACACAGGGTGTAATGTAAATAAAGAAGCGCATTTCTTCGCACATCGGTCTCTCCGAAGGAACTTTATTATGGCATCATATAAATCGACAATAAAGCGATTGATCCTTATGTAAGGATTTATTAACCATAACTCGTATTATTATGCCCTTCCGAAACAAAGTAAAAAAGACTCGGAGTGAAGGAGTTCCATTGTTAAGTTTTATGAGGATCCCGTTTCTCCATAGGATTAAATACATTGCTATATTAGTGCTAGCGCATATCTTAGCATTCGTTATCTAAACTTTAACAAGTATGTCGTTGTACATATTCCCTTCACGGCTCTCCACTTATCCAGGAACATCATCCGTTTGCCAGCCAATAAAGGCTTTGTCTGACAGGGGGAGCCAGGGGTAAAGAACTCAAGAGCAAGAGGGTTTAAAGGGTTCCACCAAACTAATGAATGAGAGAAGGTTGCCGACGCAAACTTCCCGACTCCACGTAACTCAGAGCTGCAAGTTATCGAGATAATGCAATTTATGAAGCGCTCACCAACAAAATACAAATGCTAAAAGGATGACTCTCGGTCTCTGCTCGAAACAAAATTCCCGTCTCGTACGAATCAGATTAGACATCAGATTAGACATCTCCCATCTGCCTAAAATTACTTATTTTATGGATATGTCGTGCATGAAGCATCGAAGAAAAAAACCCCCATTCCATCGTCTTAAGCGGGCGACAGTGTCGCATTTTCTAATTTGACATCTCGAAAACAAGGCAGCCCACAGCTATGTTGTTTTGTTTCAACGCATAAGCATTATTCACTTGGGCGCTTAGAAACGTCATGAAGACGTTCCTATGTAGTTCCTACATAGGACAGAAAGGGGAGACCCGACGGCAAACCAACCATGTCGCCCCGTCAGCTTCAGCCACCTATTTTTTAAGAAATCCAAGAAACCTAAGAAACCTAAAGAGGTAGTTGATGAAACGCTCACCAAGAGATGCCGTAGTGTATTTCTCTGCCGTCCGGAAGAGGGAACCGTTATCCATCATCATGCAGTAAACGTACGGATCCGTACCTAACCTAGCCAAAATTTCACCCGCCTACGAATTGCTTTCTACATACGTACATCTCAGTACCAGGTGTCTACGTATTGTACAAATACATCGAAATACATTGGAATACCTACATTGTACCGGGAATACATTGTATAAAGGATATGTACTGGGATAGGTACCAACATGAATTGGCTATTTTGTGGGGTGAGCTTTGCGTCGACGCCACTGCTACAAGTTACTGCGAACTACTACAACTTATTAAGTTAGGTTGAAGCTGTTAGGTTGAAGCTATTAGATTGACATGCCGTGTCGAATTGTCAAACCCTGTGTCGCGAGATTCGACACGTGGAAATCTGCCTCGACGATCTACCAACGAGTTTCCCGTAAGTATGTATATTACGTACCTAGGGTCCAAGCGACCAGGCAGGCGATAACAATCCTCGACCGTATTGCTAGGCCTACCATATATGTACATAGGTATGTCAGGCCTACCATAAGTCTGCGAGGTCTGTTCGTTCGTTTGTTCGCCCTGTTCTAAGCTTGGGTTACCACGAACCCATGATCTGCCAAGAAAGGCGATCAAGTCACGATAAGCAGTAGCAAGGGTTTTGTTCCTACCTATCGTAAGCTATGTACATTTACTGTGTCTACTGTGTCCTCGAATACCAAGTCTGTTGCATATTTCTCCCTTGCCTTTTCAAATACAGTCGTAAGTTATTCGATATTAAATGAGATCTACTTCAACGCTTACTCTCAACACTTATATAGGAGCTCCAGACTCTCGGGATGAACTACACGCTAATAACAGTCAAAGCTAAACCATCAAACACATGCCAAGAACCAAAAGGCTCTCACTAGATCACCCCAGATGGATTTCATTCGTGGGAATAGACCAAGATGCACTTATTTAGCGCGCTTGTTCCCGGTACATACTTCTGGGGTTTCGGAGTATTTTAGAATTACGACCGTCCTCTTGACCATCGTGACTATGTCCATTGTCAGCTAACCTGGCCTAGTACATTGATCGGGAGACAGGGCTGCATGCACTTTAGTGCTGCAATGCGAACCGCCGATGCAGGGACGCCGTTGGGTAGCGAATCGATTCTCGAATGCGTACCCAATACCAGTATGTCGGGGCGATGCCGTTATCCCTTCAGCGTTACTAGTCTCGTGCTGGAACTTTGATGACTGCAGAAATCTCGAAACATGGTCCAAAGATCCTCCTGCTTCCTCGCATGAATGCAGCGCGTACCCGCGTACATGTGCTTCGTATGACGACGAGGAACCCTAGCCTTGCATATGACAGGTCTAATGTCTACCAGATCACCAGATCTGATAACACAGATTATTGTTTGACAGTTGTGACGTAGTGACACCCGTCCACCACGTATACAAGCTCTGCACCGCTATTCCGGGGACAGGCAGCTCTTGATATGACATCGGTTTCATATGCTGTCACTCGACAATCTTGTATTCCGCATATATCACTTATAGTCATGTAGTGCAGTGCCTACAAGCTCTTTGTCTATTCTATCAGCTCTCAGCTTTACGAGCTGGTAGAAATGACTACATGGCAGGGTGGTTATTTGTTGGCTTAATCTAGTCCAACCTGGAAATGCAAACCTCACATGAGAAAGCAAACTTCCATCCCACTGCTAAGTTCTAATGGTCACCAGCTGTGCAACTATGTAGTGTTGGCGGCACCCGAGAAGTCATAAATATGGATCAACTACATCCTGATACAGTAATATTTACAGCATTCATCACAACAACTCACTATTTAGTTACTATACATACCATAGTTATAATGTCAAAGGCGATGCTAAAATTCTTACTTATATGCACTCATTTAACCTTTACGAGATCTTAAAAATGGCTCTTCTTCACGAACACGGGAATAACCACTCAATTCTACTTCTTGGTTATCCTATCCTTGTCTACCAGCGCTCTCAAGAGCACAGACTTATTATCTATCTAAAAAAAGAAGTCGAGTCTCCCGCACTTACCAAGTACTAAAATCCCTCCTAGAAATTCCCCATAGGCCAGCCAACCCAAGATATCTATCTCGATATCTCCGTAGAACAAGTTCTAGATACGCTATGGCCACTCGCGTAGTCTAGGTTAGTGTACCTACTCCATGGCTCTGTTTATCACCATTACCGCTGGGCCGATCGTCTATGGTCACGCAGCTTTACTTTACATACCTAAACTATAGTAGGTTAAGCAATCGACAAACTCTTTGATTAGGCTACGCTAGGCTGAACCCGAGCCGAAGCCGTTATTCGCTTTATTTTATTGCGGCTTCTGGTCTATGGACGGATCCCCAGACCCGGGGGGTCTAAGATTTTACTATCGTTGTAACTAGAAACATTACGCTTCATGTTAGAGGATTCTCATAACATGCTAATTCTAACTCCTACCTGACTGGGGGGGCCCCCCCCCCCCCCCCCAAAAAAAAAAGAAAGGAAAAGAAAAAGACGAAAAAGGAACACCAACACCCACACACCAGAAAAGGGGACATAGGG